CACTTTCTTTCATAAGTTCAATTTATAAGGATGATGAGAGAACATGTCTCTTTCATAAGTTCAACTTATAAGGATGGTGAGAGAACATGTCTCTTTCAAAGTTCAACTTATAAAGATGGTGAGAGAACATGTCTCTTTCATAAGTTCAACTTATAAGAATGGTGAGAGAACATGTCTCTTTCATAAGTTCAACTTATAAGGATGGTGAGAGAACATCTCACCATCCTTATAAGTTGAACTTATGAAAGAGACATGTTCTCTCACCATCCTTATAAGTTGAACTTATGAAAGAGACAGAACATGTCTCTTTCATAAGTTCAACTTATAAGGATGGTGAGAGAACATGTCTCTTCCATAAGTTCAACTTATAAGGATGTTGAGAGAACATGTCTCTTTCATAAGTTCAACTTATAAGGATGTTGAGAGAACACGTTTCTTTCATATTTTTTTAATTAAAAAAGCCCCTTCACATTTGAAAAATGCGAGATATTATTTCCTTCCAATATAGCAGTTGTCTTTCATCCGCCAACGTTTGAAGCCAAATTACACTCATGCTCTCTGTAGTCTCAACAGTCTCATTTCTTGAACATCTAATTAGCTTTATTTATGTCAGAAAATATTATCATATTACCCGAACTTAATATTGTTAATAATTAGTTTTATATTATAGTTCCAAGCATTTCTGTTAAGCCTGCCTATTTAGAATAATAATCTAAACATGAAGTGCATAGTTTCCATGTTTTGACTTGTCAATACTAAAATTCGGGGCTCTATCCCTGTAATATGCAAAGCACGGATAACCCATTGTGCAGCTTTATACTTAATAGGCAATAAACGTAAATAAATTCTTACTGCGCATGCTTATAATGGGCCAGACAAAATATGGGGAGTAGGGGGGGGGGGGGTCCGTCAAGATGTGTAGTCCCTGCTTAGTAGCATTGTCAGAAAGCATGCAACACAATACAAATCACTGCCTTTAGATATTATAATCTAGCCAAGATATCATGACTTACGAGTATATCTATTTTTAATAGATTCGAAGCATTTTTAATATCACATTCTTAGCTGGGTTCGTTTAAAGAATAAAATATGCCCTAATTTACTCAAGCCTTCTAATGAAAGAAATCAACTGGAATCCTAGTAACTTTGCAAGTGGCCTAGTCTGGGTTTAAAATAACCATTAGCATACAGTGTTATTACTGTTGTTTTTATTTTTAGCTTACGTTCGGAGAATAAGAGGAATGAGAAGGAACAAGTACAGAAATAGCCTCCACAAGTATTTCTTACATTGCTCCATAGGTGCCCACACTTCAACATCAATACAGTTGTTTCTTAAATTGTCATAATGGCCAGTGATTCTCTCATATGTTTTACTAACTTTTTTACATTTATTTAGTTATGTTTCAGCTTATAAGGTGTGATTCAAAGTCCTGATTATTGTGAAGTAGGTGTGGAACATCGAAAATCTGCTGATATAGGGTGTTTAAGCATATTGTGGGGCATTTCTTACTAGATATGTTGTCATGAGATAAAGGTCGAATCAAGATCAATTAAATGCTATCTCTGAAACTAAAAATACAAGATTAAATTGTTTCAATACAAAGTAGTAGCATGTGGATGACCTTGATTTGACCGTTCTATCGTGTCAAGTACTAAATGGACTCAATATACCCAAGCACGTTATGTGAACAAATTTTTTATATCCTACACCAACTTCAGAACAATAGAAAAACAAATTAAAGACCTTTGTCTCACCCTGTATATATAAATATTGACCACAGCCCAGCTTCTCATTTTTCAATGTATCAATGTTTTATGTATAATAACTTATTTGATTGTTATGTATAAGTTTGATATGGTTAAATCCTTCCATTTCACTTTTTTTTTAACAATTTTACTTCTAGGTTTACTTTATGCTTAAAGATAATTTGCACCCCCCTCCACGTTGGCTCAACGTCTGTGGGCTTATAGCGCTAAAATAGGGTTTCGATAGCCGCAATGGGCAGAGCACAAATATCTCTTTGTGTAACTTTGTGCTTAACAACAAATGTTTAAAGATAATTTTATTTACTCTTAAGAAATCCTTCTGATATGTGGAAAGGTTTCAATTTAAATAAAGTTACATCGATAAGTAAAGTCCAAACTAGTGCTAGATCTCTGTTGACAGTTGGGGGTTGAGTTTTGGAAGATAATAATTTAAAGAGGCTAGATTTAAGGGGTGTTGTAATCATCCAGATACCAACTATCGCGGCATTCTTAAAATTAATTATAGTGTTTTTGATTTTTAGATTTAAGAATAAGAACCTCCAAACAAGCTCCGGATCTCAGTTAAGCACTGTCTCAAACTAATAAATTCAACAGTCTGGTTCAAGCATTAGAAGTATTTCTTCAACTGTCAACAAAGAGGATTTAATCATAATATATTTTTACTTAATTACATGTCATTGATACTCTCGTTAATTCTTGAACTCTTGATTTAATAAAAATAGACACAATATGTAAGTTTCAGGCTGTTTTTTTAATTTAGGGTTGTTTAGAATGTTATGTTGAAAATAAGGCATACTGACTTAGTTGTGATTCCCAGGATTAATTCACTTATGCGGATTGTAATTTATGTTTTTAATTATTTTAATTTGGTTAATTAATTTAAAATTTAATTATTTTAAATTGTTTTAATGTTGTTGTTATGGCTATATTTTTAATGTTGTAATTTAGATGTTAACTAGAGAGCGCTTGACATTAGAATCAAACAAGTTCTAGGAACTAGAGTACCTATAACTTTCGGGAATATTAGCGATCGAGAGACTTTTCTAAGTGTCTAGAAACTGGGCTACAGGAATAAATACAAGTAGACAATTCAGGTGTGGGAAATAGTGAAGAATTTGGATTAGCCGTGAAACTGTACAAGTAGGTATATTTTTACTTTAATCATAGTATAGTTAGTGAGGCATTTTCGTTTGAAAGTCAGTTGTAGACTTACTCACTTAGGCCTCAGGGCCGTAAGAGGCGGTAAAGCCAGTCAAGCCGCCTACACCAATGTAAAAGTGAAGGAATCTTGCATAAACTTCAAGAATGAAATAAACCAACTTCTTATTAAACTGATTGGACTTGTTATTTTAAACTATCAATCTAAATAAACCATTCCAACGAAGGAACAACGTTATAACAATGCTATTGTTATATTGAAGTAAATATATTTAATAGTTAGTAAATATGACTTGGTAAACAATAAAAAAACTATTACAGGTTTATAATTCCATTTTTAACTGGTCCAATTTTAGTTTTCAGCTAGAATCAAAATTAATAGTATTTAATTAAACTACAGTTTGATATAGGGTGTTAAGGATTATGCTTTTTAATAGTTCAACTGCATTTCGTATATACTACTGCTGAACCTGGTTTTCAGTATTTGAAATACATTTTGTCGCTGTTAGCGACGCTTTTAAGTATTTCACATTTGGTCTCAGCTGTCAGTAACAAATACCGTTTAGAGTAGGTGCTGGTTTCCCGCTAATAAAGGCAAGATTGGCAGAATCAAACTGGGAAGCCTGGAGTCATTGTTCCTCAGATAAAGTTTACAATTTGTACTGAAAAAACTACATTTTGCTGGTACCCGAGGCTGTTTTCACTATTTCGACTACATTTTATTATATATGCATCACCATTTTTAACGATATTCATGCAGCTCAAACGAATATCTTTGTTACCTAACTTCACATTTTTTTAAAATGAAGGTCAGTCCTTTGTAAGAGGTCACAAGGTGTTAAATAACAAGCTATAACTGATTCAACATATAAATATCAGGACAACATATACATGTATAAATGGAGAGAACTAGCTTGACGATTTCGTGCAGTTGGAGGATTTTGATTACTTTTTATGATAAAGTTATTCTTAAATAAAGATTTTATTTGAGATTTGCTGTTTCTAAACTAAAGATTATTTTCAACCTATTCAAAGATTACCGTATCTTACAACAATGTTTAGTTAATCCGGATTTACCGTGGGACAGAGGTAAGTTTACGGAGTTACAACACTATGGCTTTGGTCTAGAAAAAAAAAAAGGGAAATTAAACTAAAAAAAAAGTAATTTAATAGGTTTTCTTGATCTGCTATATATTTTGAACAGACAATATGTTTTTTCTAGTTAATGATTTTTTACAAAGCATACCGTACAATAAAATTCATTTTGTAGTAACGACATTCCAATTCAAAATAATTAAATATTTTTTTCATGAAATAAATATACATAATATATATATACATGATCAAAAACCTTAAATCATGAGAGGAAGGTAGTCATTTTATAATATTTTGATGTGACTCAACTAAATTATTCGACCGATTTAATTATCTTGTGTATTTTGAAAAGATTCTGTAGCACATAGCTTTCGATGTATTCTTCATTGATCTTCACTAGATCCCTAATATATCTAATAGACTGCTCAATTTGTCATCTACGCAATTGAAAATGTTTAATGTTTGGAATTTTCAGTCCAAACGGCAACACCTCATACGACACATAGACAAAACGGTCATTTCAAACACACCCTAAGGTTTGAACAACTGACCAGAGGGATGAGGAGCAGTCAGCAGCACATTATTTTAATTACAGCTAATTACGGGATTTACTTTAAAAATTAAATAATACGTTGAACAAACGCCAAGTTTTTAAAATTTTTATTTAAAGAAGGATGACGTTTCGAGCTAGTGCTCTCCTTCAGATCGTACAGTTTACAACAGAATACATAGAACTTGCGTGCATAGTATTTTGAATGATGAGCGTGAAAATTCTTAGCAGAATTACATGTATTACATAAAAGTTATAAACCATGAAAAGATAAAACAGATAGCAATTAAAATTTGAACAAAAAAATGGAAAAATAGAAAACTACAGGAAAGAAAAGCGTTTGTTTCAACCAGATGGTTGTAGGGTCCACAGATTGTAGATTAATCTCCTTTCCAGTCTTTCTGTTTTGTGAATGTCTGTTGAAGCACTAATACGTCCAACGTCCTCAACTGTATGATTGTTGATGGTGAAATTTTTACCGATAGGTGTATCTTAGTTCTTCAGTTTAATATGATTTAGATGTTCTCCTGCTCGATCACCGAGTAGGTGGCCTGTTTGTCCAATGTATAAACTAATGCATCTTTAACAAATTATACAGTAAATGATACATTCAGTGGTACATGTAAAGGAGTGTCTTATGTTGAAAGTTGTGTTCTTTCCTCGTATGTGTTTAGTGCTGTTTATATGTAGACAGGTGACACACCTGTTTCATTTACAAGTGTGAATGCCTGGAGTGTCATTTTGTTTTTGTTTAAGGTTACTGTGCACCAGGATTTCTTTTAGGTTTTTGTCATGTCTGTAAACAATTATGGGTGGGTCCTTGAAAAGAGATTTAGTAGTAGGGTCTTCAGTAAGTATTGTGCAATCTGGAGATCCTACAACCATCTGGTTTAAATGAACGCTTTTCTTTCCTGTAATTTTCTATTTTTTGTTTAAATTTTAATTGCTATCTGTTTTATCTTTTCATGATTTGTATCTTTTATGTAATAGATGTAATTCTGCTTGGAATCTTCACGCCCATCATTCAAAATACTATGTACGCAAGTTCTATGAATTCTGTTGTAAACTGTACGATCTGACGAGAGCGCTAGCTCGAAACGTCATCCTTCTTTAAGTGAAAATATAAAAAACAGGGCGATTCTTCAACCTATTATTTAATCTTGATATTTTCGTCGCCTATGCGATCTCAGCTGTATTTGTCTTTTTTTGTAAAACAGGATTTACTGTGACAGTTATAGCACAACCACAGCTGAAAATGAGTAACTGGTTCAGTGGCTAATCGCGGTTTGAATCTGGGACTTTCCGATTCGCATCCCAGCATGGTAACCGCTACGTCATGCACAGCCGAGAACTAAATAGCAATAATACAATAACAACACTTCGTACACTCAAGGTTACATACACCTGTAAGTCTAATACATTAACGCTGTCACGCAATATATTAAGGTTTAAAGTACTACCAACATATTCTGTATCAAAACACATAGGCACCTGATCATTAAATAACTGGAACCAAACAGTCAAAGGAAAATATAATTCTAGCACGAACATGCCGTCTGACAAAACTCTGCAACACATTAAAAGTGCCCAGTGGCTTAGTGCCATGCATGCGAACTTATAAAACTAAAAACCGGTTTTCGATACTTCGGCGCTCGACTCACAACCTGAACGTCGCGGGTTCGTATCCCCGTCCTACCAAACTAATTTTTCCATTAGTCTGTGGTAATGTTACTTGTATATAATTCTATTTTACCATTAGTCTGTGGTAATGTTACTTGTATATGATTCTATTTTACCATGTAGTCTGTGGTAATGCTACTTGTATATGATTCAACATTACCACAGACTACATGGTAAAATAATGGTAAAATAGAATCATATACAAGTGTAGTCTGTGGTAATGTTACTTGTATATGATTCTATTTTACCATGTAGTCTGTGGTAATGCTGCTTGTATATGATTCTATTTTGCCATGTAGTCTGTGGTAATGCTACTTGTATATGATTCTATTTTGCCATTAGTCTGTGGTAATGCTGCTTGTATATGATTCTATTTTACCATGTAGTCTGTGGTAATGCTGCTTGTATATGATTCTATTTTACCATATAGTCTGTGGTAATGTTACTTGTATATGATTCTATTTTACCATGTAGTCTGTGGTAATGCTGCTTGTATATGATTCTATTTTACCATTAGTCTGTGGTAATGTTACTTGTATATAATTCTATTTTACCATTAGTCTGTGGTAATGTTACTTGTATATGATTCTATTTTGCCATGTAGTCTGTGGTAATGCTGCTTGTATATGATTCTATTTTGCCATGTAGTATGTGATAATGCAACTTCTACATCAATGTATATGATTCTAAGTGTTACTAGTATGTTAGACAGAATCTACTGTACATTAATCTGTTTTGTGTAATCGGAAATCAATAAATAAATAATACATTTGTGTCGGACAATATTCGACCAAGCAGCCGAAACAGAAGAAAGCTCGCTGTTCACGTATTATACTTGAACGCTGTTACGTCTAAATCCTTTGATAGTTATAACTGTATCACGTCTGTATTACTCTAACAGTTAGTAATTTGTTTAAAACGTTATATTAATATTTAATAATCTTCATTTTTAAAAGAAAAATCGATGGGATCGCGCCCACATTTGAAAAGAAGCCGTCCATTCGACAAGAAGACGACGGAAGGAAATTATTTTTCGAATGTCGTATTCTCGCAGACCCTGCCCCTAGTGTATCTTGGTACCATGACGGAGTCCTTGTTAAGGCACAAGGTAGATTTAAGGTAAGCTGAACGTTTGAAATATACAATAATTGTTAATTATATGCATTTTCGTTAATGTATAAATAGAGAAATAGTCGTCTGGTAATTACATACAGCGTTATTTGTGTTATGTAAACTTGTGTGTGTGAACATGGAAAAAAAATTTGTTAACTCTTCTTGATAAGATATTGATATTTATCTTGTTTTGTTAACTCTTTTCCTATCTAAGATATTTATCTTGTTTTGTTAACTCTTTTCCTATCTAAGATATTGATATTTATCTTGTTTTGTTAACTCTTTTCCTATCTAAGATATTTATCTTGTTTTGTTAACTCTTCTCCTATTTAAGATATTGATATTTATCTTGTTTTTTTTACTCTTTTTCTATCTAAGATATTGATATTTATATTGTTTTGTTAACTCTTCTCCTATCTAAGATATTGATATTTATCTTGTTTTGTTAACTCTTCTTGATAAGATATTGATATTTATCTTGTTTTGTTAACTCTTTTCCTATCTAAGATATTTATCTTGTTTTGTTAACTCTTTTCCTATCTAAGATATTGATATTTATCTTGTTTTGTTAACTCTTCTCCTATCTAAAATATTGATATTTATCTTGTTTTGTTAACTCTTCTCTTATCTAAGATATTTATCTTGTTTTGTTAACTCTTCTTCTATCTAAGATATTGATATTTATCTTGTTTTGTTAACTCTTCTCTTATCATAAATATCAATATCTTACAAGATAAATATCAATATCTTAAATAGGAGAAGAGTTAACAAAACAAGATAAATATCAATATCTTAGATAGGAAAAGAGTTAACAAAACAAGTTTTGTTTACTCTTTTTCTATCTAAGATATTGATATTTATATTGTTTTGTTAACTCTTCTCCTATCTAAGATATTGATATTTATCTTGTTTTGTTAACTCTTCTTGATAAGATATTGATATTTATCTTGTTTTGTTAACTCTTCTTGATAAGATATTGATATTTATCTTGTTTTGTTAACTCTTTTCCTATCTAAGATATTTATCTTGTTAAACAATTACTCACTAAATTATTAATTAGAAACCAGAGCTATAACCTGATTTTTAATATATTTTTTTAATTGACTCCTGATTTAAACCTTACATTGTTTCATTACGTCTGATTTAAACCTTACATTGTTTCATTGTTACAAGTTCTTTCTCTCCAACATATAATGATTTTTGTGCTTTTGAACTGATAGAATAATTACATTTACTGCTTTATGAACAAGATTTTATTGTCTGAACGGTTTTTAGCCTGCTGAGACTATCATTCCAAGAAATCATGGTTCGCAGCCCACTGCTGCAAAAACGCGTTCTGCACTTTGGAGCCGTGGGTGCGTTAAAAGAGTGATTGTTAAATCCAACTATTTGGTCTGTCATCTCAAAATTAGAGACGACTATGCGTAGATAGCTCCTTTTTCCTATGAAGCTTAGGACACAAGTTTTGAAACAAACAAACAACTAATAAAAGGAAAAAGAAAGTAGCAAGTTTAATATCGGCAGATTTTAAGAATATTTACAATTATTTTAAGTTATAATCTAATTCTATCAAACTGAAAATGTTAACTTTTAAAGTTGAGCCCAGTTTTTACATTTTAATATATTTTTAAATACTGAATAAAAAATGGAATACTTTCATCAGATGAGGCCACACATTTTCCTGGTGTTTGTTTTCTAAATTATAAGTGATAAATATTTTATGTGATATGGAAGCATTTGTTTTTGTCATTATTATAATTGTTTTAAATCACATGATTATCAGAATTTGTCGATAGGTTATGATTTTATAGCTTACATTAATCATAATCCCAGAATGAGAAGTCTAAGGAAATGGAAAACTAGCGTAGTAGAAACAAAAATCAGTTTTAAAGCTCTTTTAATGTATTTTCGTACTTATATTTCTTGTTAAAACCAAACAAACCAGCCTTTTCTTGTTCTATCTTAAATATAAATTAGTGTATATTTATTAGAAATGGAGAAAGAAACGGCTAAAATGACCTTGACCCATTTTTGAAATCTATCTGATTAATATGGATGCGTTTGTTTGTCCGAAACTTTTCTGTAGAAAGGTTTTTGTTCGAGGAGTCTGGATTGCATATTGGCTTTTCCATTCAGAATCACCTTACCTGTTTTTTGCGTAGTTAAATTTTTAATGCAACATGCATGCTACATAAGGACACAATGTCGTTGTCATCATGTGACGACTGGTTTCGATTTCAGCTTTAGTTTTTTATTTGCAAAGTATTTCACACAAACAACACTTAACCAGCATGTCATTTCATAAAAACAAAAAACAACAAATAACATTACACTAAATATAATGTCTATGGCCTTTCTGACTTATTTAGGTCTAAAATACGCATGCAAAGTTTGTTCAAAACCATATGCTTATCACTTTGTGAATACTCATTCAGACGTTTCTGCATATTCAGCTAAGTTTGACTTCATTATAACTTTAAATTTACTTTACTTTACAATAATTTAGATTTGGTTTGTTTCATAGACTGCTATAAACATATTTTAGCTACTTTTTTCTTTATTCTTCGTTTTTTGGGAATTTATTTGTTTCAACTTGTAAAACTGTGTCATACACTAAACATTCATACTCTGTACACTATTATAAATACCATTACTATGCTTTATTGTTTAGGAGTAGTTTTATTAAATAAAGTTACGTCTACATGAGTTTATTTGTCTGACCGCGTAAAATCTTTTCAAATGGACCAAGATTTAACGATATAACATAATGCCTCTAAGAAACCGTAACTTAAATGGCGTGCGTGAAAATGATAGAATAAGGGATATTCAAGCGAAGGGCATGAAAACTACCGCAAATATTTAACGGGTCGCCGCTAGTATCATGAACCACAACAGTGGTTCATAATGGGGATAGCAAGGAATTGCACAAAACCCTAATAGAACGTTCGGGCAAAAAGCACCATAAACAATAAAGATTCAGTTCAAAGAACACTTCAAAACCTTTAATATTGACTGCTAAGTCTGTACACATAAAAACTCACAAAAAATTACACTTGTAAAACTTACAAGAAAAAGAAAATCTGCTCAAAACGGCCTGTTTGTAATTCTTCTTCTTATTATTCTCTTGCCAGCCTACAACAAAACAGATTGGTATATTGCACCCAAACCTTTTGTACAATCTATACAATTATAATAGTACTGTCTTTTGTATGTCCACGTAACTACTTCGCAGGGTGTGGATGTGTCTTCACCAAAATTGGTATGGAGGTTCATTAGATCCATGCGGGGACACATACAAATTTTCAGTTTTACATTTTGCGTTTTGCGGTTTTTATGGGAGTTTTTGCGTTTATACCACTACTTCGCCCCCTGTTAATGGATCTTCACCAAATTTAGCATGAAGGTTTGTTAAATATATGTGAAATAAATGTAAAATTGCAATTTCACATTTTGTGTTTTGCAGTTTTTATGGGCGTTTTAACAGTTACATATAAGGGAAACAACTTTTGATGTTCCAAGATAACCTTTCATTAATCATGAATTTACATAACTTCCATCCAGGGGACGGGTACTACAGCTAGTACTAAATAAGGTACTGCGGAGGTCGTAGGACTATTGAAAAGTCGATTTGTTTCTTCTACATTCTACATACGTTAAAAAACATTATAATTCTAGTGTAAACGATGCTATCATTACCCCTAGAAGTTAGCTTTCTAACAGATATCTGGTGTTCCGTTAAAAAGCTTAGGTACAGGGTGAAACCGGAACTACAAGCCAATAATGAACATTACACAGCGTGGTCACAAGTAAACAGACACCACCTTTTCAGAAAAAATGAAATTTTTCAGTCATATTCACATGAATTGAAATATTTATAATTTAATTAATATCTAGTAGATCTTCCTTTCACTTCGTGGAGTTCGTTGATCCTTTGGAGCATCGTGAGAATCATCTCGTCAATTTTAGATTGTGGGAATTTCGCCCACTCTTGCTTCAAAACTTGGAGTAGATCGCTCTTTGAAGTTGGTTTTTTTTTGGTTGTTCCTTGCCGTGTTTCCTGAACTGCACGATGATTCTGTTGACTGTCGAAAGTGGGATACCCAAATTCTGCGAAATTTGCCGCTGACTTATTCCACCATCTGCTTGACCAACTAACCACAAATTAGTTAACATAAATCAGTTAAATGACGAAAAATTAGGTGTCTGTTTACCTGTGACCGCTAATTGTAGATGACAGTAACATGTAGTTATTCAATGCTTTATACGCTATACAATCAGTGTCTTTAGAAAGGCAACCCCTATATTATGTATGAAGTGACGGAGTAAAAAAACATCAGTATACATAATATTACATTTATTACACACATTCGTAGAATATTTACTTTTAAAGACACGAAGGTTTATTCAAAGCAGTGTTTTAGACGTATATGTGTTATTTGAAAAGGCTGTTTTCATACTGATAAATTTTATACACGCTGAGTGGGGGTTGTGTCTTAGTTTTAGTATATATATATGTGTGCCCATTGCTATGCATTATATATATAGAGAGAATTTAGTTACTCAGAAACTATAAATACTCATTATATTCTCAAACAAATCTCCATGACAATCTCCAGCTGCAGTTTAACATTTTACATCTCGAACTAATGCGATCAAATAGTCAATAGATATAGTAAATCATCATGAACCGTATCAGCTAGCTACTAGCTAGGTGTATTATCATTACAATATATAAATTTAGCTAACATATCAAGTAATCCTTTTCCCACAGTTGACCATTAAAAAAGCCAGCAAACAAAATAAATAAAAAATTGGGAATTTAAAAATCTGCAAATAGGGATA